CTAGCTGGGTAGATACTCCTGTAGTACGGATTAAGACAGAGCTAGGTTGAGTAACTAAGCAGGAGGGGTAGATACTCCTGTAGTACGGATGAAGACAAAGCTAGGTTGAGTAACTAAGCAGGAAGAAGTGCACAGCATAGTAGCTAAGGTGGATCCAAAGTCCCATCTCTTGTATGTGACAGAGGTTATAAGTACCTTGGTTTAAATTCTGCAGCTCATAATTAGGAATAAAATTTTCACAACCATTTGTCCAAAGCCTAAAAAAGCTCAATTATTTTGCTTTTGATGCCTTATTCTATCCTGAATGATTTCAAAGCAGTAGGAATGATCCTACGTTCTTTCCTAAAACTGAGTTGGCAGTACTTGATAACCAGTACTGCTTTGTTCCAAATAACAGAATGCTGTTGAAAGAACATAAGTTACTGGTGAGAAGTATTTTAGGCAATTCTTATAGCCTGTAAGAAATTTCAGGGTGCACTGTGTCATTTCCTTCATAAGCAGAGGGATTCCACCCTTGTGCACTCCTGCAGTATCACTGGCTTTTGACAAGATGGGAAAGTGTTCAGCTTTCAACTGTTGCTCCTGTTTCTGACAATGCTGCTGAGCTGGGTACTGCTCTGAGCATCCAGCTGCACGTGCTTTTCTGTAGTACTTCCTGAATCTAAATGGCTCTTATCTCTTTGAAATTTCAGGAAGATGTTTGTTGGTGGCCTCAGCTGGGATACAAGCAAAAAAGACTTGAAAGATTATTTCACCAAATTTGGTGAAGTAACCGACTGTACGATAAAGATGGACCCTAACACAGGAAGATCCAGAGGCTTTGGATTTATTCTCTTCAAAGAACCTGGGAGTGTTGAAAAGGTAAATTTAAGACTCATATTTTAGATCCTCAAGTTCTAGGGGAGACTTTTCAGCTTGAGTTAATCCTGTCAAACTATCTTTCAGGTTCTGGAACAGAAAGAACACAGGCTAGATGGACGACTAATTGACCCCAAGAAGGCCATGGCGATGAAGAAGGATCCAGTGAAGAAAATATTTGTTGGTGGACTTAACCCAGAAGCCACAGAAGAGAAAATCAGGGAATACTTTGGAGAGTTTGGAGAGGTGTGTAATGCTATCTTAGTGAAGACTGAAACATACAGTCTCCAGTTGCTGTTTAGTTTACTAATAATTTGCAAGTTGCACATTAAATTGAGATGTATCAAGCCTGTAACGTATGCAGAGGTTTCCTTTCTTGAGAGCAAGGAAGGCACATGCTGCACTAGATGCTTCCATCGCTAGTTAGATATCCTTGTCTTTAACTCAAACCATTTTATCTTACATTAAAACTGTTTTTAAGAGTTACAAATTTGAAACCTCTGGTCTGAAAGGCAATGTTAGTATAGGGAGAACACTGCAACTTTAGTGTTGCATAATATGCATAGATGGGAAACTTATTTTCCATGTCACTGTCCCAAAATACCCTGCATTTAATTGTTCTGCTAAAATACAAGTCTGAAAATAGTATTCTGTGTCTTCAGATTGAAGCAATTGAACTTCCAATGGATCCAAAGACCAACAAAAGGAGGGGGTTTGTGTTCATCACTTTCAAGGAAGAGGATCCAGTGAAGAAGGTGTTGGAGAAGAAATTCCATAACGTCAGTGGAAGCAAGGTAGAAACTTTGGACTTGCAAATTTTTGTCCATGTTTTTAAGCATAATATCACTACATCTATAATCTGACAAGGATTTTGTAGACCTCTGATTTCAAGTTACCAAAATGATAATAAGGACAGCTTGCAGTTGACCACAAAGGTGTTTTGCCATAAGTTCAGTCACAGAGGCTATCAAGGTTCTTTGCCAACACTTGTGGCTTTAATACTTGTTATGTTCTAGGGGCTTTTCTTTGTAAAATGTCTAACTGCATTCATTAAATACACGTGGAAGAACTGGCTTATGTATGTATCAGTCAAGCAAAATAAGCCACTTCAAGACTTTTCAGCACAGAGCACCTGCATAAACTTAAGGCTTACAGACACACAGACTTTGTAAGCAGCTATCTGAAACTGGCTCTGACTGATGTGGGCAACTTCTGGTGTCTTCTCTCAGAAGCCCTCCCTACTACCAAAACCTTGTCACATAAACCCAATACAAAGATCCAGAGAGTAAATATTTGCTTATAGCAGCTTGTACCTGGTCAGGGGGTTATGTGAACTACTGTAAAAGCACTGTGAGATTCTCTGAACTGCTCACCTGTGGGAATAGCTAATAGAGGCTTTTGTGTCAAGCTAATAAGAGGACTGGAGGCAAATGATGTGTGCTAGCTGGAGGTGTCCCTCTTCCCTTGCTCCATGGCCAGTGCTGACCATATGCTAACTCCAAGGCCATATTAGATCTGGTCATACTGACACAGTGACTGAGATTGCAGTTTGAGACTGGTCTTGACAGCATGGAATAAACTTTGTCAAACCTAATACATTGGTAGTTGTCAAGACACTGTAGTTAGTGATAAAGTTTGTGTTTCGGGAGACTTGAAGGCTTTTGTGCAAAAGGAGCTGAGAATCACATCTGTGTATCTTGTAACTGTGGCTTGGTTTTGTGGCAAAGGGATAATAAAAAGAGTAGGTTACCTGAAAGCTCCTGTGTGAAGAATTCCAAGCCAGGCTTGCTCAGGTGCTGCTATCACAGAGAGCTGTTCCTTTCATAGGAGCAGTAGCTTTCATCTCAGACTGTGCACAGATTCAGGAACTGGGAAGCTGGCTGACAGCTTGAACTGCAGCTTGATAACCTGTCTTGGAAATATCAGTTCTGTGGTTTTTAGCTGCTGTTAGTATTTGGTAAGTGATTTCAAGTGTTGGTAAGTGTACTTCACAGACCAACACAGATGCTTGGTGTATGAAGGCTGTCAGGAAAACTTACTCCCATTTCTCAGAGCCTTGTTTGTTCAGTGCAGCTCAGGTGAAGCAGTCCAATAGCAACAGCCTCATCTTGGAGGTTGTGCCAGGATACAGGGCAGCCTCCTGGAGGAGCACTGGTTATGCTGAGGTGGCTTCAGCACCTCTTCTCTGGGGGGGTCGATATTAGAGAACAGGGAATATAAAATACTCTGAAAGCAGCAGCCTGCTCTATATGGCCAATAGTGACTTAACCTTTCTCTCCCATGAGGATAGCTGATAGTGGGGAATAGGCATTATGGAAATACAAGTAGTGGCCTGCTTTGAGTGGCCAACTGTGACTTACCTTTGCCCAGGTGGCACAATAAATGAGATGCTTCTGGGTGTGCACTAGTCCTGATCCCATGATGGAGCACAGCACATACACCTCCTTTGCCTCCAGCGTAACCTCTGGCTTTCCTAGCTGGTTAGGTGTGGGGGTGCTGCTGCTGCTGTAAGACAGTTTACACACTCTTCTTTTTTTTTTTTTTTTTCCTTTTTTTTAATTTTCAGTGCGAGATTAAGGTAGCACAGCCAAAAGAAGTATACCAGCAGCAACAGTTCAGTAGTGGTGGAGGAAGAGGTAGCTATGGAGGAAGAGGCAGAGGTGGAAGAGGCGGCGGTAAGTACTAGACACACTACTTTAGTATGGACACATTCTAAATAAGTTGTGTGTACTAAAATGGGATTTTGTGGATGGTTTTCCCTTCTATAGCTCAAAGTCAAAATTGGAATCAAGGTTATGGCAATTACTGGAACCAGGGTTATGGGAATCAAGGATACGGCTATCAGCAAGGTTATGGTGGCTATGGAGGCTATGATTATTCAGGATATGGGTATTATGGATATGGACCAGGCTATGATTACAGTAAGTAAAGAGAACTGTATTGGGTATAAGCAAGCGTAACTAATTAGCAGTTTAATGCATTTGTTCTCTTGTTCATAGGTCAAGGCAGTGCAAATTATGGGAAGACACCACGACGTGGTGGTCATCAGAATAACTACAAGCCATATTGATCAAACTTATTCAGGTATGCAGTGGCATGGTCTCTTTTGGAAAATGACTGCATAGGTTTTGTATACAATGCTGTAGATGGATATTTCAGTTCTGTACCAAATTTAACTTTACAATAAATTTCTATGGCCTGTTAAATGTGCATCTTACTTGGAAGAGCTCCCTGGAAATGTTTTACATGTTTAATACTTACAGATAACTAGTTGTCTAGACAGTGTGGTGTGTAAATTTCAGCCTTGCTGAAGATATTAATTAATGATTTTATTAATAGGTTAAACTGAAACTGATTTTGAGGGTCTGCTTAAAGCTGCAGCTCTGCATCTAGGGACTGCCTCTTGGAGTTAACTATGGACTCTGCATTACTCCAGTTGTACAGAATGAGATGCATCTTAGGGAACCAGTGTCACTTTCCACCTTTTTATTTTGTATTGTTTTTGTGTCATACATTTCCTGTAATGGAAGTGTTAATTTTACTGTACTTTTTGGTACCTTTTTGGAATCTAATGTATTGTAAGGTATTTTACATGTGTTCTGATTCACCATGACATGGATATTGAAGCTATCCTAGCTTTTGAAATAAAAAAGGCGTAATCTAGTGTCTTGTGCCATTCTTCAGCATATGTGTTAGTAAAACGCCAGTATACTGTTCCCAGAACTTAGTTCATGGCAGTACCTTTATAGATGAAGAGTTGTGCTTAAATGTTTTGAATCTTAAAACTAGAAGGCTGTCTTGGTAGTTGTGCTCACTTGCAGTTAAGTGGCAGCTAAAAACTGCAGTCACTTCTGCCTGGAGGTTATGGTGGAAGAGAACTTGAGCAGAAAGCCCCAGGTGTTGCAGAGGCTGTGCTGGTGGTTGGTGTGTTGGACAAGCAGAGGCTCAGCACAGCTGTGTTAGTGTCTGCACTGTAGGGCTCTGCTAGGAGGAGCCAGGGGTGTAGGTTTTTAGGTAGGGCTTGTGAATCTAGACACCATTGCAAGGAGGAAGCTGAGAGATGTGCAAGAACCTAGCTGGGCTTCCTTCATGTTTCACTATCTTGAGTCTGAGACTTTTCTACAAGTTCCTAAGAGTATGTTTACCTGCCTTGAAAGACAGGTTAGACAGGCATTAAATTACCAATGCAAAGTCTGAATTTTTGAAGCCTTTTTTGTGTATCAAAAAAGGCTAAAAAAAAAACTTCCACTAAAGTTGTGGGAGGAAAACTAACAAAGCTGCCTTTAAAGAGGCAGTGGCGTGGTCTAAAGAGGCAGCTCTTTCTCTAGAGATGGGTCACCAGCTAGAAATATGTTCTCTTTTTTTAAAAAAATAAATTTTTGGAATAGTTGACCACTATTTTAAGGCAATAACTTAACACATGATTTGCCTGTCTTGTCACAGAATAGTCCCAGTCTCAGATTTGTAAATAAGTAGCAAGTGCTGCTGCACAAAGTAAGCTTCCAATCTTTGTTGCAGTAATCAATTTGATTTTTACTTCCCTTTTAAAGCTAAAATATGACTTTTTTTTTTCCCCCCTTGTAATTCTATTTGAACAAATAGGAACCAGAAGTGGAATGAAAACCAAGTAACTTAAGATATGACATAAACAGATCTTACTAGTGACCTTCTTTGTTTTTTGATCAAGGGATACAGATGTTCCTGCAGGGACTATAATATGCTGCTCCCTGCTGGCTGTCTTTGAAAAGAAAAACTTGCTGTAAAGTTTTAAGTCTGTAAGACTTCTCTGGGGTTAAGTAGAAAGCTGGAGTATAAAAAAAGGTGCAGCAGATTTTAAATCTGATAGTTGACATGACAGCTTTACAGCTGGAATATGGAACCTAATGCCCAACTTGCAAATTAAAACTGCAGACCACTGGGATGAGTACAGTATTTAAATGTATTACTGTCTCAATTTAAAATTGAAATGCTTTATTGCATCCTTCTACTTGTTTTCTTATGAAGTAAGGGATAGCAGAGTATTTTTCTAGCAAACAGTTTGCCCTCCAACAGGGAATTTACATAGTATCAGGCCCATACTGCTGCAGAACTTCTGGCTAGTGTGTTGTTTGTCAGCTGGCTGTTGTGTTGGTGGTGTTTTTGGATGTAGGTTCTCAGGTAATGCTTCCTTGACAGGTGATGTGGCCTTAAGCAGAAATTGAAGATGCTGGTACTTAAATGCAGAGCTGGCTTTCCATTTCTTTGCATGAAAAGTTTGTGATACAAAGAACTGTAATTGCCTGGTGAAAGCAAGGGCTCGTACACGAGGTTGTTGCTTATGGCTGTAATGTATTGTTAATGTACTAATCCTACTGGGATATTTCTTGAGGACAGAATATCTTGTAAGAACCACTTTGGGAGCTGTGGCCCCCACCTGCCTGTTCCTCATGCATTGGATGTTATGAATTTGGGACTGAAGTTTTTGACTTAATCTGGTCACTAAGACTGTTGAATTTAGTGCTATTTAGGGACCTTGTTATGAAACTAGCTACTGAAACCAGTCACAGGAGCCTGGGAAGGACTGGGTGTACTGGCAGCTAAGAATGGTGTTCACATAGGTAGCAGCAGATGTAAAAATTGGGAACCTATTGGCTCACCTTAATTTTCAAAATGTCATACTCTAAAAGAGCATGAATTGAGAAAGTAGAGTTTATAGTAGCTACTAGAAATCTAATCCTTTATAATCAGGTTTAGATATGCTGTTTGAAATAAAAGACAATTCCATACTTCTGCCAGAGTTGAAACAAGCTCTTGTAAAATTTATTTCTCCTAAAGCTTTTACTAATGACAAGATAACTGAAAATAAAATCAAAGGTAACTTATCTGGTCTAAGACATGCTAGGATGAAGATTAAATGTGCATTATTATAGTAGAATAATGTTTCTTAGTAGTAGATCTTGAACATTGTTTGAAACCTATGGAAAGAAAATAATGTTATGGTTTTTTTGTAAAAGCATCATTAAAAGGAATCTACTTCATTGCCTCATTTTCGCTTACATTATATGTAAGTGTCATACTAGTACTGTACTTAGTGAGGGGCTTTTTGCATTCTTGGTTTCCTGTAGAAAATAAAGGCATTTTTCTTGCTTAGTTTAGGTTGCAGACAAGCACATTAAGTCATTAGGCCTCTAAGTTAAACTGGCACTGTTAAGTAATCTTTTTGTTCTTAAGAAAAAGTAGTACAAACAGCTGTATGTCTTTCTGTTAACTTGCTAAATAAAATATTAACACATTTTTCTTGTGCCTGCTATACTAATATTGCACTGAACTAAAAACATGTTTCTCCTTAGCTCAGGGCCATGGCACTATGACTCTATAATTAAAATTATTACATTAGGTACATTCCTAGCCAGGTACCCAGAGTTTTACTGGGCACTTGGTTAAAAAACACTTGGTTGTCTTTTGAAAGTCAGAGCAGGTTGAAGAAGTACTAAGTAAGTGTACCAAAGGGTGTTGTTATCAAGGTGTTAACTGTAAGTGGACACTGTGCTCATGAGTGTGTGGCAGAATGAGTTGCAGGTAGATGTTATCTGTAAGTAAGCTCTAGAGGGACCTCCACAGACATTAAAATTTACAGGGCTTGGAAGACTTAGCAGGACTCACAGATTTTGGAGTATAGGGGTAAACTTATGCTTAAGCACGAGATAACAGCCACGAACCTGAAATAATCCTACAAAGTAGTCAAAAATGCTCAAGAGAACAGAAGGCAGTACTAATTCAAAGTCAGATGTTAAGTAAAATTGGAACTATAGCAGTGAAAGTACTGTTTATAGCTCTTCATAAAGCTTTGGCATAAGTGGAGGTTCCCAAATTGTGGCATGCAGAATGTACAGTGCTCCTGCCCTTAAGGGGAGAGTTGCTGAGGAGTAATGCAGCTGGAACAGCTTCTGGCTGGAGACTGAAGGCACTGAGCAGCTAGCAGCACAAAAGCTATGTTTCTGTCGTGATGTACATGGCACTTGCATGTCAAGAATTAAACCCAGTCACTCTTAAAGCTTCCCAGACACGCATAGCATGCCATAGTGGTAAGCATTTCTGGGACATATTGGACCTAGCTTGCAAAGAAATGAACACAGACAGTGTTACTAGAAGTGTCAGACTGATAGAAGGCAACTTTGGATGCCAGATATACACAAGTCTTGTCTGTGCTTCTAGATTGCTGGAAATTCCTACAAACTAATGTCAAGTAAAAGCATCTTTGAGGAAACTTGATCCTGCTTTACTGCCAGTGACAATGCTTGTGAAGTTATGTTGAGAAACCTTGGCTTTTAAATAGAAGGTCAATATAGATAAATACCTGCTCAGGTGGATGGAACAAGTGGCTGGTTTCTATTGCTTCAGACATTCTTTTTCAATATCTGGAGAGAGAATAAGAAACTAAATTTAACAAACTCATGACTTGTGAGACAAGTTTTTAAACTAACTTAGTTAATGCTGAGTGTGCAAAAGCTAAAGTGCCAAATGCACACAGGTTGTGGCTGTCAAGAATGAAATTTAGACAGCTTTTCCCAGTTCCTCTTGTTCAGCTGGGTAAACACTTCAACCTCTGCCAAAGCAAAGCTATTTTAAAAGGCATATGCATCTGTGGAATAAATAGTTTTGTTAGAGAACAGCAGAGTTTAGAAGTGAAAGCTAAACTAGCATTGACAGGGGGGTTGGAACTGGATGATCTTTAAATGTCCCTTCCAACCCAAACCATTCTGGGATTCTATGACTTAAGACTTGTTTTCCTGTGTGTTCAGCATCTATCATCTTGGCTCTATTTTAGCACTTGTGAAAAGCAGGCTCAGCACTGACTTTAAGACAGTCCAACAGTAAAATAAGGCAGTTCTGATTTGTAATACCTGTTAGTAGTTGGTCAATTTTGTCCACAACAAATTTTGCATCCTCCATACTGAAGCACATGGGGGGCTTGAATTTAAGCACATTTCTTCCTGGCCCATCTGTACTCAGTAGAATATATTCTTTCTTGAGTCTGGAGAGAACAGTAACCAAGAATTACATTTACCTTCGCCTGTAGCTCAGAAAAAACTTGCCAACAAACATGAGCATGCAGGCTGTCCAGACACTGCTTTTTGGCTTTTTTTTGCCACTTGGCTATATTTTAACAACTCTTGAGTGGCAAAGTTACTTTGTAATTGTGTGCTTGCCTCACGCATTGAGGAACTACCTGATTGTTCCTTGTTATTAGATAGTCTGCTTCTGCAGTGGCTGGGGTCCTTTCTGCTTGGTCCTTGATTAAGTCCACACCAATGAATAAGCCAGAACCCCTTTAACAAAAATCAGAGTAGTCAATCTGTGTCAGGACTGCAAGTGAGCTAAAAAACTGAGAAACATTTTTGTGGGACCAAAAACTTCTCGTGCATGAGAACTACCTGGTGTTTGGCTAGTGACCTTTTTTTTGCCACTTGGCTATATTTTAACAACTCTTGAGTGGCAAAGTTACTTTGTAATTGTGTGCTTGCCTCACGCATTGAGGAACTACCTGATTGTACCTTGTTATTAGATAGTCTGCTTCTGCAGTGGCTGGGGTCCTTTCTGCTTGGTCCTTGATTAAGTCCACACCAATGAATAAGCCAGAACCCCTTTAACAAAAATCAGAGTAGTCAATCTGTGTCAGGACTGCAAGTGAGCTAAAAAACTGAGAAACATTTTTGTGAGACCAAACTTCTCATGCATGAGAACTACCTGGTGATAGAAAAGGTATTGCTCTTTTGAACAAATGTAGTAGCACAGGAGACTTTGATCTGCTCAGAATGGCAGCACAGGACATGATATTAAGCCCATTTTCCATTCAGCTCATTAATTCTGTTCTTTGTGGACTTGAAGCAAGAGTTCAAACAGGAATGTGAATTCCTTTAGCAACTGATAAATCAATAAAGTAGTACTGGCCTAGAGTGGCAAAGTATATCAGACTTCTGATGAGCTCGGGTTTGTTTTAATATAATGCACAGCAGGATGTTGATTTTTAGTGAAAACACAGATCTAATTTAATATAATGCACAGCAGGATGTTGATTTTTGGTGAAAACACAGATCTAATTTCTTAAAACTACTGACAACCCAACAAAAAGCAGCTACAAATGTAAATAAGGCAGTGCTACCTGACATCACCTATGAGGGGATGCTTGATTTTCTGCTCCTTGAGTAGCTTCATCAAGAAGTTTCCTACTTCTGTGGCATGAGCTTGAAGGTGTTCCTTCTCAATCACATCCAGCACAGCTAATCCAACTGCACATGAAACAGGGTTTCCTCCAAACTGAGTTCAGGAAAAGGACACACATAGAGCCAGGGAAAGAAAAGAAAGGTGCAGTCTTGACACTGAAAGTGTAGCCTCAGTGATATAATGAGCTATTTTATATCAGATGCCATTTATATCAGATGGAGCCAGTAAATAGAAAGTTATACACTAAAAAGGTACAAATAATATAAATAGTAACTGTGTGGGTGATTAAGATTAATAAAAGTGTTGCATGATTATCTAACTTAGATGCCTGTAGAGGAGGAGAGTTTGGTCAACTCTTTACTTACTGTATTAAAATATTCCACTCCTGTGGCTGCAAACGCTTCTGCAATTTCCTTTGTTGTTGCGACACAGGCAATAGGGTGCCCATTTCCTATTGGTTTCCCCATAGTGACAATATCAGGTATAAAATCTTCTCCTTGAAGCTGGAATGCCCAAAAATGCTTGCCAACCCTACCAAAGCCAACTTGAATTTCATCAGCAATAAATACACCTCCTGCCTTGTGCACATGCCTGTAATGTAACAGATTTTATGTCTCTTAAGAGGAAACAGAACATATTTACTGTTTAAGAACATGCAGAAAGCAAAACAAACTTGTACAGGCCTGTATGTGTTTAAAACCTGGTCTAGTGGAAGGTGTCCCTGCTGATGGCAGGGGGATTTGGAACTAGATGATCTTTAAGGTCCCTTCCAACCCAGAACATTCTGTGATTCTAAAAGCAGGCCTTTGCCATACAAAGTTTACATTCTAACATGAAGGCACAGGCCATTTCCTGCCTCTCAAGCTTTATGCTACAGCAGGCAGAGAAATTCTCTTATCATCTATATTGAGCAAGTATGTTAAATTTAAGAAGTTAAGGTAATGAATGACCACTTACTCTGCAACCTTCTGAAAATAGCCTGCTGGTGGAATGATTTGACCACCCACACTTGGCAGAGATTCAACAAAAAATGCAGCAATCTGAAACACGCAGCACGTAATGTTATGAACACAGTACAGAAACTTGTGGAAATAATTGTGTTAACAGTTAGCAAGCTCTTTGTCATTGGATGGTTCTTGCACTATTACGTGATCTTCGCTTTTTGACAAGACCATACCACTTAGCTCAGTAATCCTCAGTGGCAGTCAGCCATGCTCATTTCTAAGGCAAGACAAATAGGTAAGGAAATGACTTTTTACCTTTCTGCCTCTCTTATGTGCTTGCTCAATAATATTTTTCACTTCGTTAGCATAAGCTGTTACTGAATCTTCATGATCTTCTCTATAAAGTCCTCTGTATGTGTCTGGGACAGGAGCCTGTGCAAAGGAACAGTATCCTGGGTTCAGTACATAGTAAATAAAGACTTCATTAAATTGACAAGTAGTTGATAGTTACAGGCTGAAGTACATACCACGTGGACCCATTCCTTTTGTCCTTCTAGATTTCTGAATTTATATGGGCTTATGTCAATCAAGGATGTCAGATGTCCATGGTAAGCACTTAAAAAACAATTAGCAGAACTAAACAGTAATTTCTTCAGTATCAAGAGTTCTACATTTAATTTGAGAAAAGCTCTGAGATTTATATCAATCAGTATTTGGGGTTTTTTTGCACATCTGAATACAGGGGATGCAGAGGGCCAGTAATCCTGGTCACTGGTTTGCCAGGGCCAGTGACTAGAATCCCAGCAGTGTAAGTCATAAGTAGGATTTCAAGATTGCAGAACAACTGGAAAGGACATGTCTTGCCTACTTCTGAATATCCTCCTCTGATGGAGTTTCCAGTCCCTCTGGACATCCCATTCTAACATTTGACCACCTTTATGGTATAAAAGCGCTTTCTCTATGTCTCATCAGAATTACCCAGGTTTCAACTTGAGTCCATTGTCTTTTTTCCTGTCACTGTACATCTTCAGGCCTAACTCCATCTTTTCTGCTCCTTCCCATTAGACAGTTGTAGTTGCAGTAAGATCTTGCTCTAGCTGTCTCGTTACAGCTGAGCAAATCCAATTTTCCTAACCTCTTATGGCTCCCTGCCCACTGTGGCAGGCCACTGCTGGCTTCTTTCCAGTCTGTTGGATACTGGAGAGCACAACCTAGACACAGTTCTCTGGGCTGGTTTCACAAATACTGAACAGAGGGGAAAAAATTACTTCCCTCAACTTCCTGTTTTACACTCAAGTCTACTACAAAAGGTTTTCAGAAATACTCTGAGCACAGAGCAAAACTGAGCCCTGTACCCCACAGCAGATAAAACTGCCAATATACTTACTGGTCTAAAACTATAACATCTTCATGTTTTGTGTACTGTCGTGCCAGTCTTAGGGCAAGATCATTAGCTTCAGATCTACAATTGAAAAAACTTGAATAAGTATTTCATTGTGGATGTCTGAGTTTTAAAATTCTGACCTCCCTTGCAATGCTGTTTGCATCTGCAGAGAACAGACAGAACTCAAGGCATGTTACTCACAGATCCCTTAGTAAGCAGTGCTTGTTAGACTTGTTAGTTAAGACTTCACCAGAACAAAATCCAGTTTAAAAAGCTGGACTACAGAAACTACTTTGACAACAGTTCTTTTTCTTTCTCTTTCAGCTGTAGTTTTCTTGGGACCACGAACCCCCTGCCCCCCCCAAGCAGAAATACGCATTGTTACATTTAATTTTGATTACAGAAGTAACTCCCAGTTCAGAAGTCAGACCAGAAACTAATGCAGTAAATATTTACATTAATGTTTTGTAGTCTAAGGCCTTATAAACAGAATAAAACCCATTTTAAATAAAGCCCTAGTTTATTTTCCTGATAGAGAGCTTGTTAAACATGAACTTCAGAGACATTGAGGTTCTGAAAAGGACCACAGTTCCTTCAAAAACCAAAACCCCAAACCATGTGCTCAGTTAGTATCTAGTCATCCACACCAGATCATGCAGTTGGCTGTTGATAATGAAGTATTTTACTTCAGTTTATATAACTAGTGAAAACACAGCATCAGTTCTAATATACCTGACTGACTTACCCAGAATTCAGAAAATAAAAGATGCATAACTTCTCAGGAAGCGTTTTTGAAAGTCTCTCTGCGTAATCGACCATGTTGTCGTGAAGATAACGAGAATTTGTATTTAACAACTGATTTTGTTCATGGGCTGCTTTTACTACATCAGGGTGACAATGTCCAACTGCAGGAGAGCGGAGAGTGGTTTGAGAGTTCATCCATATTATGCATTGTGTTCATTAATAAATGCCTAGTGACCTAACGCTTGGATTTCTCTGTTGGTACAGAGCTGTCATCACTGATGATTGTATTTCATCAGTGGGGAAGTAATGACTTTGTCAGCAAAATATAATGTTGGTAATGCCTTGAAAACTTTCACTTAAAACTGTATTTTCTGGCTCAGAAAGTTTGAAATTGCCACTTAAATGTATTTTCTGGTTTGTAGTTGAATAGTGGAAATAGGCTAAAACAAATAGTGTCTAATTTGGTATTTGGCTTTAGATATTTGAATAATTTAGGTAGGGGTTTGGGTATGTGCAGGTAATAAAAGAATTACTAGCCCTGCTAAAGTGCTAGTGACAGCATTGACTGTTCAGAGAGATTTCAGGTACTGTAAGAAGAAACAGCTACTTCTTAATACTCAAATAAGACACTACACTGAGCAGTAGTCCTGTGACAGTACACTTAGCAATAACTTTTTTACAAATAGAACAAATTGTCAAGCTATTTGTTAGTCTTACAGTTAGGTACTTGAGCTTTCATAGAAGAAAAAAAAAAAAGGTAAATTTTAGATAAGTATTTATATGAAGACAGAACAGGAAGCAAGTATGGAAAGCAAATTCATGCCACAAATTCAAACATGAACTGTAATTTTCCAAACTATAGGCTCGAGAGGTTTCTTCCACTTTTCCAATTAAACAGCCCCTCCCTCCAACACAATACAAGTGGGAAAAGTACTGATTGTTCCTTGTTGTGCTTAGAAAAACATGGTATTGCATCGCATGACTTTTAACTTACCGTGAGCAACGTTGTTTATGCAGTCAAGGTATTGTCTGCCATTCTCATCGTACATATACTGGCCTTTTGCCTTTACAATCTTCACCGGATCATTAGGAAAAAACAGCTTGCAAGAAGAGCTGTGGCAGGCACAACAAAACAAAATAAATCTTAGTGAATTCTAAAAGTCACGTAGTTGATTCTGCTGGCAGCATTTTCAGTTCACTCAGTTACTCAAGAGAAAGACATTTCCCCAGTTTGCTGGCACGTACTGTCCTACATCAGGCCCCTAAAACAAACTTAGGGTGGGGAAGAGAACAGGCCTTGTGCTCTAACACAGTGGTCAAATTTTGTTGGACTTGTA